CGCTGCGACGTGCCCTTCTGACTGTATTGAAGGGACAGACACTGTACCTGCTGAGGATCAGCTGGCTACAGTAGTCGCAGAGTGTGAGCTTATGTACAACAGTCGTCCATTGTGTGCCCTCAGTCCGAGCGCTGATGACCTACTTCCGTTGAGGCCTAATGATGTTGTCAACCCGGAGCCAGCGAGTGCCTGCCCTCCAGGTCTGTTTGAGAAGCGGGATGCTCTGGTGCGGAATCGTTTTTAGGCAGACTCAGTACATCGTGCAACAGTTCCGGGGCAGATTCCTGAGAGAGTACCTACCTACACTTCAGGAACGACAAAGGTCCATCACCCAGTCGCGGAACTTCGAGGTTGGAGACTTGTGCCTCCTTACAGATGAGCTTGCCCTTGGTCATCGTGGATATTGGCCACTTTGTCGTGTAACAGACGTGCATCGCAGTGAAGACGGCTGTGTTCGAGTGGTTCGCGTGAAGACTGCCAAGGGACAGTATGGGAGGCCAGTGAACAAAATCTGCCTACTGGAAGCAGCGTGTGGACTTGGTTAACTTACTATTAAACCAGTGTAACCCTTAGGGAGGATGTTATATTTTACTGTCTCGTTCAGTTTAAGTGTGAAATTTAAAGGTTTAAATTCAAGATGGAGTGTAGGTTTCGGCAGTATCAATCCGACTGTTGGCGCCCTTGCGCGGGCCAGGTAGCGGAGTAGATACAACTTTCACTTTGATCGAAATTTCTAGACCACGTACCGTTCAGATTCATAACAATCCCTTGCCCTAAAGAGAGGATGTAGTCATCTCACCGATGTAATCGTAGCCTCAATGGGGAAGGGGAAAAGTGGCAAGAATTTGGCTTTATATTTCGGAGTCATTCAAGGCGATTATTGGGATTAAAGTTAGTGAATTTCTGCAGCAATTTGCACGTGTTATGCACAGGTTACGTTGTAATGCCGTGTGAATTTAAATGCATGTGCATGGGTTCTTGCTATATACGTGTAAAGAACATTGCTTTTCGGGATTTCTCGTGGATTGGACTGCAGTCTGAGAGTCCTGCTTCTTTTCCACACATTCTTATTTAGTTCTGTAGCCCTTTAGGCTGACTCTGATTATTATTTAGATAGCTGTGATAAATAACCTTGCATGAGAATTCGCATGTTTTTTTTGTAATGGCGTTATTGTAGTTTAGTATACAGCAACGTGGTTTGTGTTTTTACTGCTCTAGTTGACCGCGTGCATGTTCGTGGATGGGAGTCACAAGGAATAAAGACCAAGAGTGACAAACCATATACCTGTGCGTGTCCAACTTGACCCAATTCCTGCCTGCAAATCCCCCTGAGAACTTACAGACATGACCAGGTCTAAACCCAACTGACTTATCTTCATCAAGTTATGTTCGAATAGATGTGTTTGCAACTCGCTGTGAATGACTGATTCGAACACTTCGCTTAGAATAGAAAGCAGGCTGATGGGTCTATAGTTAGTAGCTGTTGAACATGATCCCCGTTTGAGTGCAAGAGCAACATTAGCATCCTTCCACGGTCTGGGGAGACTTCCTGAAAAACTTACAAAGGGGAACAGCCTGACACTCAATGCATTCTTTCAGCATTCGGTTGCGGATACAGGTCTCACCAATAGGTCCGTTCGGTTTCTTACAATGGGTTTCAGGATGCTTCTGTCGTCTTTTGATCTTACTTGAACAGTATATAGCTTGATTTGGCAAAGTACTTACAGAAGACTTCCAACATTTCTTCAACAGTATTGAAAGTTAACCTTTGTGCGTCACTGTAGGAATTGTTTTGGGAGGAAGGCGATTCACTGCCCACCGCTAGTCCTTTTGGCTTGTTTCTTTGTTGGCGAAATGTTTACCAGTCCTAATGAATTACTTCCAGCGAGTTCTTTTTTCCAAGTCGTGCAGTATAAGGTCTTGTCTAGACGCTCGTAGACTCTCAATTTGTTGAAAAGGATCTCTAACTGCATTTCCATAGCATTTTTTACTTCTTTCCCGGCCATTCTGCAGGCTTCAGCGTACTACATGTAGTTGCTTTAGTTCACTGGATCGAATGAGTTTGTTCCTGCACGGTAGGAACCTCTCCATAGTGTGAGAGATATAGTTTCGATGTTCACAGCCGCAAATTTGGTGTCAGTCTGAGAACTGGGAAAATTTCCTAGGTGTTGTGCCTCATTCCAGACCAGTTAGCTTTGACAGAACTCCATAGAGCTTATCGTGTGAAGAGGTCTCTGATATCACCTTATTTAACAGCGATATGATTCGCCTGTGTTTGGTTTTAACGGACACATGCGTATGATGGAAAGCTACACCAGTCAACACCAAGTCCAGAATATTGCCACCACGTGTGGGTTCGTGTACAAGTTGTTAAAACAAACCCATTAACAATACTGAAGTTGTGACGAGCAGTGCCAGCAGGATCAGTAGGCGAACTACAGTTAAGCCGAGTACGGTGTGTCTTGCTTGAGTGCCCAGAAGGACTCTACATCAAGGTAAGAGTTGACATAGTTTGTTAAACGAGTGTCGGATCCCGAGGTTGAGCCACGTCTATAACATACTTCCAGTCATTACAGGATCGATCCCAGGGGAGGTGTGTACATTGTGACTTCCAGTCATTACAGGATCGATCCCAGGGGAGGTGTGTACATTGTGTTGTGATCTACATGAAGTCAAGGTTGAATGGTTTGAGATCCTCATTGCGCTGTACCCGATGAAGGTCACATTTCACCTAAGCCGCCGTACCTCCCCAGCTGTCTGTACGATCTCTCTGGAATCACAAGCTGCTGGTAACCACCTCATGATACCTCTACATCCGGCACGTGCTATCCAAACCGTTGTGTCAGCAGAGTAAGTTGACATCCTCTGCTTTGTCTACAAACAGGCTTGACATACTGGGGTGACGTCCTCAGTCAGCAACACCAGCATGACACCAAGTTCCCTTCACAGCACCAGAAAACAAGGATCAATCATTTGAATCAATTTAATGAATTCATAACTTCGCAACAGAATAAAAACAACAAATTCATACGTTCACCAATTTTGACTTCAGCTAACTTATAAAATTCAAATCGTTCGTCATCCACTCTACGTGGATGGAATGTTAATAATAGAAACAAAGGAACCTAGACAGATTTAAAAAAAAAACAAGCGAAATCAGTTTTATGACAAAGACAGGAGAGACTGCAGATCGAAACTAGGTCTGACCTATTTTGCCAAATGAGTGATCAGGTACACGTACACTCTGTGATGTCTTTGGCCTAATTTTTATGGGTGGGCTACATTCTGAGAAACATTATTCTGGGGGGCCAATACAACAAACGGGCGCTACACTTATTTGGGATAATCCGGCCTTGCACCTTGTTCAGCATGCCGTCTATTTTGCTAAAATCACGCAAGAAGCTGGAGGGCCGATACAACAAACAGGCGCTACACCTAATCGGGATAATCCGGCCC